TTCCGGGATTTAAGTTCCCGCTACTGCCGAGGGACAAAACGGAATCTCCTATTTATTATTTAAGCAAGTACAGTAGCGAACTCCACCGAGTGGACTTCGCTTCCACGCGGAAGCCCGTGTGAGCTCCGGCCTTCCGACCGCGGGCTCGCTTTAATGTTGAAAATTGGAAGGATTTCCGGCGAAATGCAATTTCGCTGGTCGCGCGTGCGCGACACGTTCCGCCGCTCGAATATCTCGCATAACGAAGCGTTCCTCCTCGTCCCTCCTCCCTCCTCCCGGCTCGTCTCTTCACCGTCAAGCTAATTCAGCTCTTTTCCCGCCTCTTTGATGAGAAGCGTAATAAACGTCTATCAGCGAGGCGGATACTTTTCTGGAACTCCGAGCTCGAACTCTCTCGGACCCGCCCGCGAGCAGCGGTCGTTTCCCGGGGCCCACCAGGTACCCCCGGGCATAATCGTAACGCGACATTAAAGTAATGAACGCGTTTTACGCTCACCGTATTCCCCGATTGCCCTACTTCGCCGGGAATCATATTTTCCGGGAACGGCTCTTTCCCGCCGGGGGGCGCCGCTTTCACGATAATTGATAAACACACGGGCGAACGGATTGCCGTCCGTAATTCGCGTGTTTGCATATTTTTCGGGATGAAAAGCGCGCGGACGATCGCCCGCCCTCCGCATTTTCAACGCTGACCAACGTGTCCGCGCGCCAAAATTGCCCCTTCCCTCCTCGTATCTGCTCCTTTCTCCCCGTTTCTTCGCGACAGGGTCGGTTCTTTATAGCTTAATTGATGCTTCACCGGAACTTCGATATCCCTGCCCTCTCAACTCTCTCGGTTGTTTATGCACGTTTTTTTTTCACTTCAAAGGCTAGAAGTGCAATTTAGTTCGGTTAGAAAGAACAGACCTAATATTTACGTCGACCGGGAGCCAAATGTTACGAGAGAGCCGCGTTAGGAGTTGCGGTGGATCAGCGATCATGTGTAAACGCTCATTGTGTCGGAGTGAATTCAACGGCTTTTGTCTGCACACACACACACACACACACACACACACACGCACGCACACGCACACACACACAGCGATACACCATGTGACTACAAAGAGTCGGCTTCATTTGAAAATGCACGGCGCGTGTTCGTGTGCCGCGAATTCAGCTCACGTCAGACACGTGTGAACTAAAAACTCCTCGTCGCTTGTGGAACACGTCCATTTGAGGAAAAAAAGAGAGAAAAAGAAAGAGAGAGAGAGAAAGAGAGAGAGAGAGAGATGGATGCGTATATACCACATTTAATAATTTGCAAAAATAGATAAAGGAATGCGTTACGCGCACGCGAGGATAACTGCGTTTACTGCGCTATCATTAGCAGAGTTTAATGAATCCTTTCGGAATTTCACGCTCCACGGGACATCGAGGAACTAGCGAGATTAAGTAAACAGGGGGGAGAAAAAGGGAGGCGGTAGATTATCACGCGCGGGACAAGAATGTGGAGCAGCGGTACATGCAAAAATACCTCCTCTTCTCCCCCCGTGAGCTATTCCGCGCTGAGCCGGACGGCCGACCTCATTCCGCAACTCCGGAGAGATAAGTGACGTGTCTTATCGTCGTTCATAAATACGCAGCTCGCGCCCGTTTCAAGTGTTTTTCACCGTTTTCCGGCCGGTCCACTGTTTTCATCCGTCGACCGGTATTTACATTAATTGCGCAAATGGCTGCGAATGAGCGAAATGACGACGATGGTCGCGAATAAATTGCAATTAGCGCGAGAGAGAGCGCGATAATGTCGAAATATTGAACTAATTTCGCGCGTTTCCATTTGACATATAGTAAAAGGGAGGGGCGGGAGAACCAGAGGAGAGGGTGAGATTACGAGGTACTTACATTATGCTTCTCATCCGCGAAATTGGACGCTCACTTTTACGACGCTCACATTCACCACAACGCGGTTCTGTCTATTCTGAATTTGCGTGTGCGTTTAAAATTATATAACTATCGTAAAGTTATCGATCGACATCCATCGAAAATTTTAATTTCTTGCATTTTCTCTTCGATATCCAGCAGTATCGAGCGTCAACATCTCCAATTTTCCTCATATATATATACATACAATTTCTGTTACTTCTTTCGAAAGTTTAAATATTCATATTTAAGTACCAAAACAACAAAAGTATCTGAAGTTAGATATGTGTTCAGGCATACTTTTAGCTCAGTTTTTAAAAATAAAATCCTAAATGTGATTTAGAAGAAATTAAAGATAGAAATTAAAAATAGAACATTAGCCTCTCAGGGAACAAAAAGTGTCATCTTCAGTTGCGAATATTCCAGCTGAGCGTATGACGCAGTGCGGCGGAGACGTCCGTGATAAAAGGATTAAAGGGATTTCTAAGAAAATGGTTTGACGGGCCAACTGTTATCAGGAATTTATGCTATCAACTATCGTGTGATTTTTCTACACATACACATATACACGTAGCATTAAGTTAATCATTCCATCGTCTCACTCGTTCAGTCATCAATTATTCAGCTTAATCCAAACGAAAACAAAGATCCAGTCTGCCGTATAATCCGCGATAATATAATATATCATTAGATATGATATAAAGCCAGATTACACAGATCGTCAATATATATCACGTGGCTTTCATATTGTCACCGTAGAATCCAAGATTACAACTCGATGCCTGCAATTTGTATTCGCGCCTCGCTCACTCCATCACTTGGTTCATACTTTCCTTTTCCGGTGTCAACAAAGAGACTTCGACGTCACAATTCTTCCCCACCGTCTCTCTGTCTTCACTTTTTCATTAGCTCCTTCTCATGGGATTTACGTCCATCTCCATTGCGAGACTGTCATCGCTGATGATGAAACGATTCTATTACCTCATTCTGTCCAATGATTAGTCGTCAATTATCCGGCTCGATCTCGACGGATGCAAAACTCCGGTTTATCCGTAATCCACGATATAGTATAATCCATCATCGCGCATGATGTAAGGCCAGATTACAGGCAGTCGGGTATCGCCCCGTGTATCCCGCGTATTCTCATATTTTCGCCGCAAAATCCGCGAGATCGCTGCTCGATGCCCGCAATTTGTATTCCGTCTCACATCTCGCCCATTCTTCGCGCTCGCGCACCATCCTCTTCTCGTATCAACAAATTCTGCACGCTGTAAGAAGCGGCTTTCAGAGAGACCGGTCGACGCCACGAGCGCGGAATTGTATTCGTAATTTCAGCAACGTCGCGACGAAAAAAATGCGAGTATCGACATTGATGTCAACGCGCGTTAGGGACTCTGAATGGCTCGCGACGTGTCAGATACAACGGCGGGGCGACTTCGACGAACACGGTTATGACGGAACACGTTCTAAAGGATGATCAAGGCTGTGTGTACGGGTTCCGAAATGAAGCTGGTCTTAATGAATAGCGCTCGTCAAGTACGTGAGAAGGGTTGACGTGGATGGCGTTACGTAAAAGCCGCTTTGCAGCGAAACGGCAAACGCTTTATTATATTATCGCACTGTATACCGCCGCGTGGTAACGCGTGACCTACCGACATTAAAGTGCCGCAATAACAGGATGTCAAGAAATTTTGGCGTAAACACTAAGTCTTTCGAACTTTCGGACAAGAGTGAGAAAGTGAGGGAACGTGGGGATTTATTTGGCGAAATAATGGATGCTATCGGTCGATTAATCAGAATCGAACAGAGAGGGAAAAAGAGAGAAAGAAACTTTTATAAAAGTCTTAGGGATAGTCCTCTAAGGACGAAAAATTAGGAATTATAGGTATGTAATAGATAAGTAAGCTGACCGACGGAGAAATTTTACAATATATATTAAGAATAGTGATTGAAAATAATTGAATATTATAAATTAAAAAAATAGAAAACTAATATTGATGGTTATATAATAATAGTCGACTATTGAATTAATATGTTTATATATAATTTCGTGAGTTGATAAGAACGTTGGAAAAAACCTATGCTGAGTGAAGGAAATATCTCAGGATCTCTAAATAAGAAAAAAAAAAACAGAGATAGAGACAGAGAGAGAGAGAGGCGCAAATTTCTTCATTTCTTGATGATCACAGATAGCAAACACCGAGCAAATCAAAAGGAATTCGCGTCTAGACTCGCGGAGATTTCGGTTTAATTTCACGCTTGTCGCATTCCCGCTCGTTCTGCGCGCGCGTGCGCGTTCCATTTCCTCGCGCTAAAATTCCCGCCGCGCGACAATTGCAGATTGCGGCAGACAGGAAATCAATTTTTTAAACGCAAATCACGCAGAAACTCGCCTTCTCCCTCTCGGCTCCGGCGTCGCGCATTATAATTCAAGATGGACGAAGGTATCAGCGATGCTTAAGCGAATAATGTCGGCCGCTGCGCCTGGCGTATCGTTCCGCGAGACGGATTGCGAAGTCGCGTGCTAAAATTGTTTCCGCCCGGGGGGGTAACGTCGCGAATGCAAAATACGTAATACCCCTCTGTCGCATGTGCAGCGTGCCTTTCGGATATTTCAACAGAAACAGAACAGCGCATCGCTCGCCCGTTCAAACGATATTAGTTTGGCGGAGGATATGCACGAGTAGGCGCGCCGATCGGTCGCCGGCGGGCGCGGAATAACGGGCGAAAATCGAAAACCCGTGTCAGGACCGCGACGTTGCACGGCTAAGAGATGTAACTGGGCCTCGCGTGTGCGGACTTACACGTTATTTCCCACGGGGCCGGCGGCAGGAGAGGAGGGGGAGACGCAAAACCGCGATGGAGCACCCGATCGACCTGTTAAAAATTCTTTTGGGAACCTTCAAAGATTTCACTCCCCTNCCCCCCCCCCCCCAACCCTTCGTGTAATCCTGACGAGAGTTCCCAATACTTTCTCCCCCTCTGTACCGTTCGATACCTCTCTCAACATCTGTTTGATGTGTTAATAGGTGGAACGACCTTCACCGGTCGATTCTTCTTTCGTGGGCAAATACGGGAAAATATTACGAGATGTTACTCACGCTCAGATCCTGCAGATTTACGCAAGTCGTGTAATTGCTCCATATTTGATCGGACTCGGGATGCCGGAACCACGTGCCGTTCAACTCGCAGTATTTGTGCGCCATCACTGTAACGAACAAAATAAAAATTTTGTAAAAAAAAAAAAGAATAAGAATGATATATATATATTCCCGACGTTATACATTATNGTCGGGAAGTCAACATCGAAATTGCCGACTTTATTGATGCTTTTATTTCGTTGTAAGCTTTAGTAATATATTTGCTTATTATTATATATTATATTACATGTATATTATGTTTGTATAATATATATTTCTTTTCATTCCTTATTTCAGCATTTGTTTATACAATTCTGGTGAAAATGGCGCAGTACCAAATATAAATCGACGTTGGGTCGTTTAATGACGATACAAATTATCATTAATATCTCCAACAGTATAATTAGGTCGTAGGATTGCAGAGAATTCGTTGTACGGTCGTGTCACTCGCATCGATATCGATCAATAAAAGATGATCAATTATATTTAATTGTATGATTGAACGGGACATTTCGCTTCCCGTGTTTGTCACGTCAGACCGCAATCACGGATTCATTATTATATGTTGTTCAAGAGTATCAAAGTTGCAAGAGGATGAATTGGCTGCTCTCAATTAGGGATGCCGTTTTGAGTGACTAAAATACGTATCTCGTTATCACGAGCAACCAGCCGCTGTGTAGCGAAAAACCAGAGCAAACGAGATAATTAAGTCGTGAGAATTCAAGGAAAAGAGAGAAAACCGAAGAGAGCGAGCGGTGTGTTTTGAGAGGAAGAAAATTCACCTGCGGCTTCGTGCATCGGCCTGACAACGTGTATCCGTCGACATACGAGCAACAGAAAGCAAAAAACATTTCCGTGCGAGAAAACGCGCAGTCATCCGCCCAAGTTACGCTCGTTTCTTGTCGAAGCTCGCTCAAACTTTCTTTCGCCCCGGCGGGACAACACAAGCTAATTTAAAATTTCCCGACGCGAAGGGTACTTTGCAAAAACTGCGCCGGCAGCGTCTCAGTGCTAAGAATCAAAAGAGTCGACATCACTTCCGCTTCGTGGGAGATGAAGGTGGAAACGGAGGAGGAGGAGAAGGAGAAGAGGGAGGAAAGAGGGGGTCAGGGGAATTAGACCGCGTAGATCCAGTTTGATAGTTTGCAAATAAAACAAAATGCACGCCGAACTTGAAGCCGTTTCCCACGAAACGTCGCCTGATTAAACTTATTCCGAGGGAAAAAGGAAACTTCCAACCCGCGTCCTCTCCCTTCCTCGCTCTTTTAATATTTGCCTCGCGCCGTTTCCCGGTCTTAATTAGTCGATGAGATTCGACGTAAATATCCGGAGTGTGCGCAAGTAACCAGTTAATCAGTGCGCAATTACGTTCCGTTCGCCGTTCGCGACGTCCTTCCGATTTTCGCGAAATTTCACGGGTGGAATACGGCGTGCTCGGTACATCGGATGAAATAATATACGGATTGCCACCGTATGGCATGGATGCAAAAATCGATGCAAATTGCATCGGATCTGATTCGACGCTTGCGATGAGTCGCATCTTGACAAAGTATTAATCAGGAGTCGCGAAGATCGATTAATGAGCAACAAATACCGTGCGTGGAAACTTTAAATGTACAGTCGGTGGAGTGAAGTTTGCAAAACACTGTTTTCGATTCGAGTTATGCAACGCATCTTGTATTCAATAAAACACAAATATAGCTCCTAAGAATTTATTAAAACGAATTTTCTTATTCGATGCGTTGCGAATCATCGAAAAAAATGTTGCAACTTTTGAACATGCCGACTGTGCGTGTATGTGTGAGCAGGACAGACAGTATTTATTTATCGTTGTAATTTTGAATATATTTTTCAAAACGAGTCACGGTAACGAATTAATGTTTCCGATGAATAATGAGTAACGTTAACGGATTAACGGGTTTTCAAAAGTAACTTTCTCAACACTGGAAAGAAATAATTTGTAACCCTGATGACGTCGCAAATAAGGCGCGTTACTTTCGAACATTACCGTACTTATCGGCTTATGTAACTGTTTTGGATTGCGAGGCATAATTCTCTTGTTGTTTTTCTTCCAGTAAGTTCTCACCAGAAAATATATAACGTCAATTCGACCTGTAGTTGAAATTTGGAGAGATATTTAAATGAAAAAGTTAAAAAAAATTTTTTTATATGTGTATCGTTTCATTCCTCTCGGTGGGGATTTTAATTTGCATGAATGTTTTCGCATAGAATCTTTCCAGTTTTTCTGACTTATTTATGGTAATATCGAGATATTTTGCACAATTTTATTGTTCTTTGCATATTTTTAGTTGTTTATTGAGATTATACTTGAAAAAAAGTGTTTTCAATTCTCACTCATAGATCGCTGCAAACTTGACCCATATAATTTGACGATATCTCGCACTGCTAATGTATCATCGATATTCATTCATTATTTGAATGTATTCAAATTTACGACAGACGGCATCTTCCATTTTGTATGCTTTGTTAGAAAACGGTTGAGACACAACGAAGTTAGGAACTTAGTAAATTGTCACAATTAAATATCATTATTGACGGGCTTGCCGAAATGAATCTTCCTCTTTATAAGTGACAGTATAGGATGTAAAAATAAATCTGTTCGAAAAAACGTGACAACATGTTAATACATTGGAAAATATCGGTTCAGCTGGACTGAAAAACTGAGAACGATAGGTCGACTTTTATTTTCATTCTTTTTTTGCAAAAAAATGATTTTCCAATTCTTTGAGCACCAATATTGTAACGATTGAATGTAGAATACAAACAGGTTGTCACGTTATCTCGAACAAATTTTTTCCCTGTATTGTTACTTCGGCAAACCGGTCGGTGGTGACTCACAATTGTGACAGTTTGTTTTGCTCCCAACTTCATCGTGTCTAAGCTGTTTTTCAATCAAGTGTACACTCAAAGTTTCTATGCTCGATATTTTTGCTCATTAACGTCCGTTACCAGGATTAATTCGGGAAATTCTCCCTACGAACTACTTTATAATCGTTTTTACATCATTGTGTGAAAAGCTGATTTAATTCGATAGTGCTTTTGTCACACATCAATGTTTAAGAAGTGACAACTCGTATATGCAAAATCGGAAATTATCAGGAGAAACAGAGAGAGAGAGAAAGAGAGAAGAGGGAGAACGTTTGAATTTTTTCATATACTTCAGTTTTTAAGATTTCAAGCAAAAGTGCGAAGCATTTTTAACGAGTCGAGAAAAAAGATTCTAAGCTCATTGAACTGACATTTCAAAAATGGTTATTCTTGCAAATACAATGTGCCTCTTAGCTATCGATGTTCGACGCTAGTAGCGAGAGTCTTAATCGATCTTCCCGGATAAACATCAACTAACAATAACGCTGCATCAATATTATAAGCTCCCATTCAACACTATAAATGCAACATAACATATATTGTACGCAACAATTACACTGGTTGGGTGAGGAATGTTATAAAATTGTAATGGATATAACTTTACTGTCAGTTCGGTTTTGCTGGATCCGTGATTAATGCCTCGTTGAAACGCACCCCTTCGCACGCGACGTACTCCTGCCGTAAGTTGCGCCGATTTTTGCACCTACATCGGCGCCTAATCTGAGGTTCACATTCAACGTTTCCACGCTCGGCGTTTTCGCACATCGACAGTACCTCCTTGGTCGAAACTCAAAATGTTTCAAGGCGGCGCGGAACGACAGCGCGCTCGCGAAGGTGATTAAACGGTCATTAACTTGGAGACAGTCGCGTGGGAAAGCGCGTCATTATGAAAACGCGAGTGCTGCGGACGACGTGGATTTCGCGCGTCGCATGCGCTCACTCACGCACGTACTAAAGTAAACGAGAGATGCGGAGGTGTCTTCGACGTGAATACATTACGATGCGCCGCGCCTTGTCGTCGTCGCGAATAGCACGGAGAGCGAAATAACATTTCTAGCTGTGCGAATGCGCGAGCGAGCGAGTGAATAATGAGACGCAACTCGGTCCGCCGTACAGAATGTTTGGAATATGCGACTCTTGGTAATTCATCCGGGGGGTGTGTACGAACCTCGGCTGGCGCGCTGCATGTGTGTAGAACGTGTCCTCAATAGCGATGCTCAAGGCATTCCGCTTTCGAGGAAAATCAATTTTCCGGAACACATATATATATGTATATTATATATATATATATATATATATATATAATATACATGTGTTAGTTATAAATATATATACATATATATGTGTGTATATATTTGTAACTCTACGTGACCGCGCCATGCGCAAGCAATTTAACCCATTAAAGCTCACCGGCAATTTTGGTTGCCTCAATTATTTTCACATTTGCCCACGTTAACGCTGCAATAGCCGCTGCGGCTCTCTTCCCCTGCTCGAAACTCCCGGATATCAATAACAACGCGTCCCGACGGATAATCCATGGCGAAAACGTGGCAATTTTCGCGTCAATTCGTAGCGCAGTCTTGCCTGACTCATTTGCTGCCGCGCTTGAATTGAAAGTCGCTCATTATGGACGCTACGTTTCTATGCAGCTATACTCGATACAATGCATGACTGCACTTATGCACTCGTAAAATACATTAAATAGGTTAATTGAGTACTTTATATATAATGCGTCACGCATGTTCCGTAGAGAACGTGTTAAGAGAAGATCAATGCCCGTTTCTATCAACGTCGATTAAATTTTCACCCGAGTTTAAGCTCTTTTTAGATAAAGACTTAAGCTCGGGTTAAAATTTAATCGTCATTGGTAGAAACGGGTACAAGGAAAATCAGAGCATCGGTGAGCGAAAATGTTCAAACGTCTGGAACTTACTCGGGCGGTTCTCGCAATATTATTTGAGATCACTCCAGGTTTCGTTTCGTCGCACTGTCCGAGTGCGACACGGTATCCACGTTTTAACGGGACAATTTATATTCCCGTTCTACGGGCTAATTGCTCGTTAGAACATACGAGAAATGTCAACGTCGGCTCCCTTTTTGAGTCGCCATGTTACAAGCACAGTTTGATTACTAATATTTATTGCCTCAAACGAGGTGGTTACCCAGTAAACACCAACCA